CCGCACAGGTACCATGTACCATCTCAGGAGGACCTTATAATTTGCTTCTATTTACAATGTGTTGATGAGCGACTGAGAAGCATATTAACCACTTCCATACCGGGCACTTTTACCCCTTCCTGTCCAGGCCATTTTTCAGTTTTCAGCGCTCTCACACTTTGAATGACAATTGCGCGGTCATACAACATTGTACCCAAACTAAAATTGTATCATTTTCTTCACACAACTAGAGCTTTCTTTTGGTGGTATTTAATCACCGCCGGGGTTTTTATTTTTTGCTAAATTAACAAAAAAAAACTGAAACTTTTGAAAACCATAAAAAAAAAAAAAAAAAAAAAAACACGTTTTTTCTTTGTTTCTCTTATAAAAGTTTGCAAATAAATAATTGTTCTTCATAAATTTAGGCCAAGATTTATTCTACTACATGTCTTTGGTGAAAATAACCCAAATTGGGATGTATTTTTTTAGTTTGTGGGGAAAGTTAGAGTTCACAAACTATGGGATATATCTGAAAATTGATCAATCCTGAAGTACTGACGGCCGATCTAATTTCTTGAGGTCCAAGAATGTCAGAAAAGTACAGATATCCCCAAATGACCCTTTTTGCAAAGTAGACAGTCCGACGTACTTCATAAGAGGCATGACGAGTTTTTTAAAGTTGTATTTTTTGTCACAATTTTTCGGAAAATGAAAAAATAAAAAAAAATATTTTCACTTTGACATACTGTCACCAGTGCAGTACAGCGTCATCATATAACTGGCATAGCGGTGATCAGGGACACCGACTGGTGAAAGTATGAAAAAAAAAAATATAATTTTTTTTATTGGTCATTTATTAAATTTTTTTCTTTTTTTAAAGATTTTTTTTTCATATTTCACTATGACCAAAGTAGTATAATGTTACCATAGTAACATTGTACTACTTTGGGGAAGTGATCAGTATTTTTTTTTTTTTTTTTTTTTTTTTTTTTTTTTACACAAGACTTACTTTGCTATAAGCAAGCATTTACCTGAATGACATCGATTCATTCAGGGTTTTTTTTTTTTTTTGTGTGCTTAGCTGTGATTTAGCCACGGCTAATCACATGACACAGCTGGGCTGTGATTGGCCCAGCTTGTGCATGTGATCGCTGTGACCATTCACAGCTAGACACTAGTATACAATGGATGGCATGAACGAAGCCATCCATTGTATACAACGGTCATGTGACCTGCTGTGACTGGTCACATGGTACCGGCAATGGGGCCGGTACTCAGATCTGTCATCGGCCGTGTCCGAGGTACACGGCCGGTGACAGATCGCGCCTGCAGTGCCACGCAGCGGCAAACTGCGCATGCCCGGGAGGATGCCATATGGCATCCACCCGGAACGCTGAAGGATTTTGCCAGCCTCCAAACGGCCATTGGCCGGGCTGCTAATGGTTAAGCAAGTCTACTCCAGTCAACCTTATCTATCTGCTCACCCAGATCCAGCTCCCATCTGTCCATGTAAGGCAATTTAGAAGAGTCGGAATATAATAGAACATAGATTTGAGATATAAATCCTTTCTACTTATCATAATTCTTCCATAATCGTTCCATTGGTGTGGAAGCGGTCAGTTCTCCTGTGCACCTTAGTGTCGCTATGAAATGAGTTATTTGAATATAGCGGTACATTTCTGTGGATGGGAGCTGGTATTGATTCATGAAGTATTGTCTTGTCAGGGCCCCCTTAAGGTCACATAAATCCACAATACGAAGAAGTCCTTTATTTGTAAAAGTACGTGGACTGAGACCGGGACGAAAGTTGGGTTACCTAGTAGTGGTGCCAGAGGTGTGTGTGGGGATTTATGTTGGGCTCAGGCGCTTTTTAACGCAAAGACGCTTGCAGCCAACCCCTCACCCTTCGTGGGAGAGAACCCCTGAGTCTTTTTTTATCATCCCCTTTGGGACAACAACCCAAATATATTTTGCCTTCCCTGATTCTGCCTTTCCCCTCCCCCATCCACATGTTAATTGCATTTTTAATAAATCCTCCCTGTCTTCAATGCATACCTGATTTTAGTTCCAGTGATCACATCACTAGATCTCTTTAAGTCATTTTATGAACACATCCCCACCATGGGACATCATGCTGGGTATTTGGTAAAGTGGTGGTAAAGGCACTTTGTTTATTTTTACCTATAGGTACATTGAATATCTCCTAAACGTGCACCATTTAGGAGATATTGACTTTTTGCAGCAGCAGGTCGTGTCACTGGTGCATGCGCTCTGATGGAATGGCATACCCATACCGTTCCTTCAGAGCTCTGTGCCGCGGCTGTGACTCCAGCGTGCATGCGTGGTAGTAACGTCATCGATGCTCAGCCACTCACATGGCTCCTGACAGCATACCACTGGAGGGCTCCATTTTCAGGTATGAGGTACATATCAGCATATTATGCCTAAAAACCACCCTGGGGGTCCATTTTTTTTTCTTTGGTGTGGTTTACTACCACACTTTAATAAGCTTTCCCCGTTGAGAGCCAGAAGTCAACACTGTGCATGGCTACTAGCTCTAAATCCCAGACAACTCGAGTCCCCACTGGGGAATTGGCTATGGCACAGTGATTAAATTAGGTTGGAGGCTTCATGGAATGTATATACAAGTTGATCAGCGCACAAAAGAACATGGAATCTACCAATGGACCATGGCATCTAAGAAAAGTCCATAATTGTAGCTGGCCAGCTAAGACCAGTCCTAGGTTGTTAATATGGTTCACATATATGTGTATACCAAACCTGCCAATAACTCAGTACAGTATATATGTGCATATGTTAAAGCCAAAAGCAGAATCATTGCTGTAATTTATGTCTTTGATTGTTATATGACATTTATATATTCATTGTGTTAGAGAAGCAGTCAAAAAGGAAAATATGCCTTTTTAGAGTTAGTTAAAGATGAGCCAAATCACAGACAGCCTTATTACTGTACAGAGCCTTAACCAATCCCAGCCAGTTTCACATCTATGCCTGTGTAAAACTCCCTGCTAGGATTTTCTAGAGGACACATGCTCACCAGACAGAAGAGGAAACAGACAGTTCCAATCAGAAAAAGCTTTATGAAGGCAGAGCAGGCCAAATAGGTATTTAATGCACTGTGTGTGTTCCTCTATTGTTTGGCAGTGCAGGTGGATCTGTGTGTTGAAACTGTTGTGTGTGTTTTACTTGTAGTTCCACCGAACGAACTTAATCGAATCGAACTTACGAATTCACCGAATCTAACAAATTTATCAAGCTATCAAATCAAAACCACTGTAATATAAAGAAATAAGCTACTGTATGATAAATGAACACAAGCCATTGTAAGCAGTTATATGAAGAAGATTGAAGTTATTAAAGAAGTTAACTAAAGTATTCGGTGTGCTCTTTAAACCTACTGCATCCATAGAGCGGCATTGGAGGAATTACAGAGTAAAGTCAATCTAATTAAACAAAGAAACAGCAATTGCATAATTTTTCTAATGCCACAGCGCACAAGGCACCAAAGGGTGCTGCGCCTGCCACAGTGGAACTATTACCCTCAGAGGTCAAGCAACAGCGCTCCTCAACTTGCACAGTAAAGAGTACACTAGAGAAATAGAGCGCCAGCATATACAGCCACGCGGAGACACCTCAGCGGAAAAATAGTACAGGCCATAGCACGTGTGCATTAGTCAGACTGCAGACGACTCTTAAGTGGCATAACGGCAAAGGCAAGACAGTCAGAGAGAAAGAGCGCCAAACCTCCTGCACCCCTAGAGAGAGAAAGAGATGCATGGGGGGGAGGATCCCAGAGTCAAGAGCTAGAGTGCCCGCACCGCTATCCATCAAGAGACCACGTGTTGCATCCAGAGAGTTCACGCAGAGCAGCTCGCAAGTCACCGCAGAGCATTGCAAAGTCACCGCATTGCAAAGTCACCGCATCAAGAAAAGAAAAGTCTCCTTTAGAAGACTGACATTTGTTTCTGCAACCTTCAGATCACGGTATCCTGCTTTCCAATTAAGGTCAGAGCTTTCCTTATTAACTCACTTAGGCACATAGTTTTCTGCAAGAGACATTTTTGTGCTCAAGAGAATACAGACTTTTAATAAAAGAGAGACATTTATAGTATATGTGTCAGGGCTCCCGGGTATGACCAGAAGGTGTGTGACTGACGCAGGGAAACGCAGACTTCAGATATATTATAAAACAATATAATTTATTAACACTAACAATACGAAAACCAATAAACGCAGTGCAATACTAAAACATAACACAGTGCAAAAACCAAACCAAACCAACCACCCACAGATAACCGTACATACAATGCAAGCGTCGTCAGGCAGGCCGGGTCAATATCAATCGGGCAGGTAGGTACAGGGGGGAGCAAGCAGGGGAATGGTCGGGGTCACAAGCCAGGTTCAGCAGGTAGCGTGGCAGCGTGGTACAGAGGGTCAGGCAGAGGGATGGTCAGGAACGAGACCTGGGGTCAGAGCAGGAGAAGTCAGCAGAGGTCCAAATCAGGCAGGGTTCAGCAACAAGACAGGAACAGGATGCAGGAACTGGATACAGGGCCCAGGAAAACACACACCAAGGCAGAGTTGCAGGTCTGGCCATCCCTTAAATACACCAGTATAAGCAGTTTCAGGTGTTTAGCTGGCTGCAAGGTTGAGTCTCTGATTGCTGGGAGCACCCGTCTGGCCAGCCCTGGTACTGCAGCTCATAAGGCAGGTGAGTCCCACCATGCTGGCCAGTCCATTCCTGACAGTACCCCCCCCCTCAAGGAGCGGCCTCAGGACGCTCCAAACAGTCTTAGCTGGGCAAAATGTTCCACCGCCCGGGTCTGGTAACTGGCGGGATATCAAAGACTGGCACACCGGGCCTGGATCGGGCAGCGGCTCACCGGGCTGGACTCCGGGCAGCGGGCACACGGGCTGGACTGACGGGCAGCGGCACACCGGGCTGGACTTCGGGGCAGGGCACACATCGTGGGTGGACTCCGGGCAGCGGGCACACCAGGCTGGATCCGGGCAGCGGCACATGGATCACCAGGCAATGCAGCAGGCCCCGTGTAGGCCCCAGGCGATTATAGAGCTGGGGCGCAGGACCCCCAGGCGGAGCGGCGGGGCGACGGACCCCCAGGCGGAGCGGCGGGCGCCGGACCCCCAAGGCGGGAGCGGTCGGGCGCCGAACCCCCAGGCGGGAAGCGACAGGTCTCGGACCCCCAGGCGGAAGCGACAGGTATCGGACCCCCAGGCGGAGCGGCGGGCTCACGATCGTCACCAGGCCACGACCAGTGGGCTCCGAGTCAACTGTCATCGGACCGCCCCAGACATTGGGATAGAGCGACTGGGTCTGGACATCGGGCATCGGGTCACCAGGCAGGTATCAGGTCATTTGGGCTCGACAGCGGCACCGCGTCATATGGCAAGGCAGTGAGCTCCGAGTCAACTGGCATGACCGGCGGGCACTGGGTCAAACATTGGGTCGTCTGGCTGGACAGCGGGCATCGGGTCACCAGGCATCAGGTCATTTGGCTCGACAGCGGGCACCGCGTCATCTGGCAAGGCAGTGGGCACCGAGTCACCAGGCACGACGGTGGGCTCTGAGTCAATTGGCACGACAGCGGGCACCGGGTCATCAGGTACCGGATTGTCTGGCTCGACAGCGGGCATCGGGTCACCAGGTATGACAGCGGGCACTGGATCACCAGGCATCAGGTCATTTGGCTTGCCAGCGGGCACCGCGTCATCTAGGCAAGGCAGTGGGCACCGAGTCACCAGGCACGACAGCGGGCTCTGAGTCAATTGGCACGACAGCGGGCACCGGATCAGGTACCGGATCGTCTGGCTCGACAGCAGGCACCGGGTCATCTGGCGCTGGATCGTCTGGCTCGACAGCGGGCATCGGTCACCAGGTATGACAGCGGGCACTGGGTCATCAGGCATTGGATCGTCTGGCTCGACAGCGGGTATCGGGTCACCAGGTATGACAGCGGGCACTGGGTCACCAGGCATCAGGTCATTTGGCTCGCCAGCGGGCACCGCGTTATCTGGCAAGGCAGTGGGCACCGAGTCAATTGGCACGACAGCGGGCACCGGATCAGGTACCGGATCGTCTGGATCAACAGCGGGCATCGAGTCAACTGGCCTAATAGGATCATCAGGCTGGGTACAGGCATCAGGCTGGGTACAGGCATCAGGCTGGGGGGTGCGGGTGTCGAGGCACCAGGCTGAACCACGGAAGGCAGGTTCTCAGACGGCAGGCTCACTGGTTTGGATACTGGCTGGCAGGATGGTATTGGTTGGAAAGAATTTTCGCTTTTTTCTGGTTTTAACTACTGGAGCACTGCAAGTAAATGCAGGTCTGCAAACGAATGGAGCAGCTGGAGACAGAGAAGAGCTGGAGAATGGAACAGGGGAGGGAACAGTTGCTACAGAGGACTTCTTTACAGGGTTAAAGGCAGGATAGGTGCAGCGAGTGGGAACAGGGTACTGACATGCGGTAGATAGCAGGGTATACTGGGCTGTAACTGGAGGTGCTGTTGGGAATGCAGGAATAGAGCTTTGAGGAAATAGATTAGAAGCAGGACTGGGTTTTTGTAAGCTGACTGAGGCTGGGTGCAACAAATCTGTCCATGTCTGCAGTATGGGTTGACAAAGCTGAGTTTACACAAAGCCTGTCTGGTCAATGACTGCACTGTTTTATACAATCTCTGAGTACCTGTGGTGAACACGCAGAATAACGCTCCAGAAAGTAATCCACATCAACCTCTAATAACCATACCAGGGACTCTACCTGGTCGGCACTAAATGGCGGCAAAAATTCATCCCTGCATTCGGGGGTACCAGATGAAACCAACTCCGCACAAACCTGAATCAAAGGTTGCACCTCAGAGAACTCTGTGCCCTGATCTACTAGAACATGAGCGAGCCGTATACATTCTAGCAGTTGATCCCGGGGATACTCCTTCAGAGTCTGATAAGCATAGTCTCTGTCATCAAACACTAGCAGATATATAAATACACAACCTCATCAAGATCCATCTTTCCCAGCAACAAGCCAAGATGGCTTCCCTGTGCAGCCACTTCTGGTCAGGATTGGGCCTTGGTGTAATGTCAGGGCTCCCGGGTATGGTATGACCAGAGGTGTGTGACTGATGCAGGGAAACGCAGACTTCAGATATATTATAAACAATATAATTTATTAACACTAACAATACAAACATAAACGCAGTGCAATACTAAAACATAACACAGTGCAAACAAACCAAACCAACCACCCACCCACAGATAACCGTACATACAATGCAAGCGTTGTCAGGCAGGCCGGGTCAATATCAATCGGGCAGGTAGGTACAGGGGGAGCAAGCAGGGAATGGTCGGGGTCACAAGCCAGGTTCAGCAGGTAGCGGGCAGCGTGGTACAGAGGGTCAGGCAGAGGGATGGTCAGGAACGAGTCGGGGTCAGAGCAGGAGAAGTCAGCAGAGGTCCAAATCAGGCAGGGTCAGCAACAAGACAGGAACAGGATGCAGGGCCCAGGAAAACACACACCAAGGCAGAGTCTGCAGGTCTGGCCATCCCTTAAATACACCAGTATAAGCAGTTTCAGGTGTTTAGCTGGCTGCAAGGTTGAGTCTCTGATTGCTGGGAGCACCCGCTGGCCAGCCCTGGTACTGCAGCTCATAAGGCAGGTGAGTCCCACCATTGCTGGCCAGTCATTCCTGACAATATGACTCTGAAGTATTTTAAAGTGAAAGTAATTTATTGCCTATGTATTTTGGTGCTATTACATGTAAAGTGAAAGTCATGTATTCTTGCATTTGTTAGTATTGCATTTAAAGTGACAGGTCCTTATTATTCACATTAATTGTTATAGCATTCAGAAATGGCTGAGCCTAGCATTGCCCACCCCACTGTTAGCAGATGCAATGATAGATATGATAGAAGGTGAAGAGCAAGAGAACCTGTCTGAATCTGAAAGGTGCAATGTAACGGTAGTCTCGCCCCAAACAAATATGGCTGAAACAGGTGAACTAAGACGTTCATCACGGGACAGAAAGCCGACCCAAAAGGTGCTAGAAAATTTGGAGCAAGAGGCAGCACTGAAAGAAAAAAAGTTTGCCTGAATGTATGAGAGGTGGAAAGTATACACCATAGACATTCACAGAAAGCTAAAACAAGAAAGCATAAAGGAGAATTTGAGTGAAATAACAGAGACGGTAGAAGATTCTGAGTCAGAGCTTATGACAGCATATGTCAACTTGCGGTCGTCCTTGACACCCTCCCAGGATATTGTAAGGAACATAGATACATGTACCGCAGTCACTAGGGATTTAGTGAAGCTTATGAGAGAACTATCAGCAGCAGCAAATTATGATGAAGTCAAGGCCCGAAAGGGAATGCATGAGCTCTTCATGAAAGACTATGCTAGGTCCTTAGGAGGAACCACAATCTCAAGTATGACTTCCATCACTAGCAGAAGTGCCAGCCACATAACAGAGTTCTCAAGTACATCAGCCAAAAGAAAGGAATTAGCTGAACAACTCGCTGCCAAAAGAGCAGAAGTTGAGATGGAATCTGCCATTGAGGCTCAGCGTCTACAGATAGCCGAAATAGAGGCTCAGCGCCATAAAATGGAAGCCGAACTGGAAGCTCAGCGCCATAAAAATGGAAGCCGAACTGGAAGCTCAGCGCCATAAAATGGAAAGTCTGGAAAGGCAGAAGGAAGTTAAGATTATAGAAGCCAGACTCAGAGTGCACGAAGAGGATATGAATCAGGGTAGTCATAGATCCAAATCAGTACTAAGTGGAGAAGCAGACTGCTACGATCTTCCTTACGCCCAGGAAAATGGAAGGAAATCTCCAGCATGTAGTGAAGAAATAAGTCATAGTCCTTTCATCCCTGCTCAGAGAGAAAAGAAGAGAGACTCACCTGATTCAGAACAAAGTGGAAAAAGAGAACCAGATAATTCAACTCCCATATGTCATGGCAGTGGTCACGAGGATGTTACAACTGTTGACCCGGCGAAACCTCAGAGAATATTTCTCACTAGACTTCCTGTTCCAGAACCTACTATATTCTCCGGAGACGTACTGAAGTTTATAGAGTGGAAGACAAGTTTTGAAATGATCATTGAACATAATTGCTCCCGTCCAGTGGACAAGTTATTCTACCTCCAGCGGTATACTGGCGGAGAAGCAAAAAAGGTTCTTGAAGGTAACTTCTATAGGAAAGATGAAGAAGCCTACAAGCAAGCTTGGGAAAAATTAAATGCAAGATATGGTCATCCCTTCTTAGTACAAAGAGCTTTCAGAGAGAAGTTGATAAACTGGACTAAAATAGGTCCTAAAGAACACTTCAAGCTCCAAGAGTATGGCGACTTCCTGCAAGCATGCAGCAATGCTATCCCACATGTTCAAGGACTAGAAGTATTGAATGACTATCTAGAAAACCACAGGATGCTAGCCAAGCTACCAGAACAAGTGGCTTCTGGATGGAATCGCTATGTGACTAAACAGTTAGATCAAGGCAAAAACTTCCCAAGTTTTAAAGAGTTCTCTGAATTTGTCAATGAGGAAGCACGAATAGCGTGTAATCCAGTAACAGCATCTTATGTCTTAAAACCCTTAGAAGAAAGGCCTACAAGAGAGATAAGACGCTCAAGAGCAACTAGCTTTGCAACCAACACAGCTACTAAAGGTCCAGATGCCCATGAGAGCAAGTTCAATGTCATTACTGGGATCAGTAAAGAGTCAGAACTGACAAGTCTTCAGACTACCTTCAAGTGTATGTTCTGTGAAGAGAATCACTCCATACATAAGTGCCAACGATTGAAGGAAAGGTCTCCAGACGAAAAGAAAAGGTTTGTGTTTGATGATCAGCTGTGTTTTGGATGTGTTAGGAATGGACTGGCCAGCAATGGTGGGACTCACCTGCCTTTTGATCTGCAGTACCAGGGCTGGCCAGCGGGTGCTCCCAGCAATCAGAGACTCAACCTTTCAGCCAGCTAACACCTGGAACTGATGATACTGGGGTATTTAAGGGATGGCCAGACTTGCAGACTCTGCCTTGGTGTTGTGTTTCTCTTGGCCCTGTATCCTGTTCCTGCTACCTGTTCCTGTCTGATTCTCTGCTACCTGTCCTGATCCCTGGCTTGTGACCCTGACCATCTCTCTGCTTGACCCTCTGTACTACGCTGCTTGCTACCTGCTGAACCTGGCCTGTGACCCCGACCATTCTCTGCTTGCTCCCCCTGTACCTACCTGCCCATTGATATTGACCCGGCCTGCCTGACGACGCTTGCTTGTATATACTGTTATCTGTGGGTGGTTTGGTTTGGTTTGGTTGCACTGTGTTATGTTTTAGTATTGCACTGCGTTTATGTTTGTATTGTTAGTGTTAATAAATTGTATTGTTTATCACATATCTGAAGTCTGCGTTTCCCTGCATCAGTCACACACCTCTGGTCATACCTGGGAGCCCTGACATTACACCAAGGCCAATCCTGACCAGAAGTGGCTGCACAGGGAAGCCATCTTGGCTTGTTGATGGGAAGGATGGATCTGGATGAGGTTGAATATTTATATCTGCTAGTGTTTGATGACAGGGAGTATGCTTATCAGACTCTGAAGGAGTATACCCGGGATGAACTGCTAGAATGTATACGGCTCGCTCATGTTCTAGTAGATCAGGGCATAGAGTTCTCTGAGGTGCAGCCTTTGATTGAAGTATGTGCTGAATTGGTTTCATCTGGTTCCCCCGAATGCAGGGATGAATTTTTGCCACCATTTAGTGCAGACCAGGTAGAGTCCCTGGTGTGGTTATTAGAGGATGATGTGGGTTACTTTCTGGAGCATTATTCCACATGTTCACCACAGGTACTAAGAGACTGTATAAACGCAGTGCAGTCATTGACCAGACAGGCTTTGTGTAAGCTCAGCTTTGTTCAACCCATACTGCAGACATGGACAGATTTGTTGCACCCAGCCTCAGTCAGCTTACAAAGACCCAGTCCTGCTTCTAATCTATTTCCTCAAAACTCTATTCCTGCATTCCCAACAGCTCCTCCTGCCCTGCTATCTACCGCATGTCAGTACCCTGTTCCCACTCGCTGCACCTATCCTGCCTTTAACCCTGTAAAAAAGCCCTCTGTAGCAACCGCTCCCTCTCCTGTTCCATCCTCCAGTTCTTCTCTGTCTCCAGCTGCTCCATTCGTTTGCAGACCTGCGTTTACTTGCAGTGCTCCAGTAGTTAAAACCAGAAAAAAAAAAGCGAAAATTCTTTCCAACCAATACCATCCTGCCAGTATCCAAACCGGTGAACCTGCCTTCCGTGGTTCAGCCTGAAGCCTCTCTTCAGCCTGATGCCGGTACGCAGCCTGATGCCTCTCTTCAGCCTGACGCCTGTACGCAGCCTGATGCCTCTCTTCAGCCTGATGCCTACTACTCGGCCTGCCTGATGCCTCTACTCGGCCTGAAGCCTCTACTCGGCCTGAAGCCTCTACTCATACTCGGCCTGAAGCCTCTACTCGGCCTGAAGCCTCTAGCCTCTACTTGGCCTGATGCCTCTACCCAGCATGATGAACTGATCCAGCCTGACGATCCTATTAGGCCAGTTGACTCGATGCCCGCTGTTGATCCAGATGATCCGGTACCTGATCCGGTGCCCGCTGTCGAGCCAAATGACCTGATGCCTGGTGACCCAGTGCCCGCTGTCATACCTGGTGACCCGATGCCCGCTGTCGAGCCAGACAATCCGGTACCTGATGACCCGGTGCTCACGTCGTGCCTGTTGACTCGGAGCCCACTGCCTTGCCAGATGACGCGGTGCCCGCTGTCAAGCCAAATGACCTGATGCCTGGTGACCCAGTGCCCGCTGTCCAGCCAGACGATCCAATGTCTGACCCAGTGCCCGCGGTCATACCAGTTGACTCGGAGCCCACTGCCTTGCCAGATGACGCGGTGCCCGCTGTCGAGCCAGACAATCCGGTACCTGATGACCCGGTGCTCACTGTCGTGCCTGTTGACTCGGAGCCCACTGCCTTGCCAGATGACGCGGTGCCCGCTGTCAAGCCAAATGACCTGATGCCTGGTGACCCAGTGCCCGCTGTCCAGCCAGACGATCCAATGTCTGACCCAGTGCCCGCGGTCATACCAGTTGACTCGGAGCCCACTGCCTTGCCAGATGACGCGGTGCCCGCTGTCGAGCCAAATGACCTGATGCCTGGTGACCCGATGACCGCTGTCCAGCCAGACGATCCAATGTCTGACCCAGTGCCAGCGGTCATCCCAGTTGACTCGGAGCCCACGGTTGTGCCTGGTGACTCGGTGCCCGCCGCCCGCCTGGGGGCCTGAGACCTGTCGTTCCGCCTGGGGGTCCGGCACCCGCCACTCCGCCTGAGGGTCCGAGACCTGTCGCTACACCTGGGGGTCCGGCGCCCCCGCCGCTCCGCCTGAGGGCCCGAGACCTGTCGCTCCATCTGGGGGTCCGAGACCTGTCGCTCCGCCTGGGGGTCCGGCGCCCGCCGCTCCGCTTGAGGGCCCGAGACCTGTCGCTCCGCCTGGGGGTCCGGCGCCCGCCGCTCCGCCTGAGGGCCCGAGACCTGTCGCTCCGCCTGGGGGTCCGGCGCCCGCCGCTCCGCCTGAGGGCCCGAGACCTGTCGCTCCACCTGGGGGTCCGGCGCCCGCCCGCTCCGCCTGAGGGCCCGAGACCTGTCGCTCCACCTGGGGGTCCGGCGCCCGCCGCTCCGCCTGAGGGCCCGAGACCTGTCGCTCCTCCTGGGGGTCCGGCGCCCGCCGCTCCGCCTGAGGGCCCGAGACCTGTCGCTCCGCCTGGGGGTCCGGCGCCCGCCGCTCCGCCTGAGGGCCCGAGACCTGTCGCTCCATCTGGGGGGGGTCCGGCGCCCGCCGCTCCGCCTGAGGGCCCGAGACCTGTCGCTCCGCCTGGGGGTCCGGCGCCCGCCGCCCCGCCTGGGGGCACGATGCCCGTCGCCCCGCCTGGGGGCACGATGCCTGTCGCCCCGCCTGGGGGCACGATGCCTGTCGCCCCGCCTGGGGGCACGATGCCTGCCTGTCGCCCCGCCTGGGGGCACGATGCCTGTCGCCCCGCCTGGGGGCACGATGCCTGTCGCCCCGCCTGGGGGCACGATGCCTGTCGCCCCGCCTGGGGGCACGATGCCTGTCGCCCCGCCTGGGGGCACGGTGCCTGTCGCCCCGCCTGGGGGCCCGGTGCCTGTCGCCCCGCCTGGGGGCCCGGTGCCCTGCGGTGCTGCTCCGCCCGGGGGCCCGGTGCCTGCTGCTGCCGCCCGGGGGCCCGGTGCCTGTCGCCCCGCCCGGGGGCCCGGTGCCTGCTGCTCCGCCCGGGGGCCCGATGCATGTCGCCCCGCCCGGGGGCCCGGTGCCTGCTGCTCCGCCCGGGGGCCCGGTGCCTGCTCGCCCTCCGCCCGGGGGCCCGGTGCCTGCTGCTCCGCCCGGGGGCCCGGTGCCTGCTGCTCCGCCCGGGGGCCCGGTGCCTGCTGCTGCTCCGCCCGGGGGCCCGGTGCCTGCTGCTCCGCCCGGGGGCCCGGTGCCTGCTGCTCCGCCCGGGGGCCCGGTGCCTGCTGCGCCCGCCCGGGGGCCCGGTGCCTGCTGCCCCGCCCGGGGGCCCGGTGCCTGCTGCTCCGCCCGGGGGCCCGGTGCCTGCTGCTCCGCCCGGGGGCCCGGTGCCCTGCTGCTGCTGCTCCGCCCGGGGGCCCGGTGCCTGCTGCTCCGCCCGTGGGGCCCGGTCCTGCCTGCTGCCCTGCCCGGGGGCCGGTGCCTGTGCTCTCTGCCCGGGTGCCCGATGTGCTCTGCTCTGCCCGGGTCCTGCCCGATGTGCCTCTGCCCCTGGAGTGTGCCCCCTGCCCGATGTGCCTCTGCCCGGAGTCCTGCCCGATGTGCCTCTGCCCGGAGTCCTGCCCGATGTGCCTCTGCCCGGAGTCCTGCCCGATGTGCCTCTGCCTGGTGTGCCTCTGCTCGATGTGCCTCTGCCCGGTGTGCCTCTGCTCGATGTGCCTCTGCCC